TGTGCACGAACAATGAATCATGGAACACTTCATCTAGAACTAATGATGTAATGTATGGGGATTAACATAAGAATAAAAAAAAATAAATAAAAAAATAAAAAGGTTGGGCTTTGCCAGCGCACTCACCTTTACAGTGATTTTCGTCCCAAGGGTATGCACAGTTCTGAACACCGTTACAGACTAAAGAATTGTTGATGCACATGTTGCTGTGGCAGAAGAAAGTGCTACCTGTGCAGGGAGCTGCAGGAAAGAAGAACAGTTTGTTGCTAAGAACTCATCCTGGTTTATTTACACTTCAACTTGTTCTATGAATACACTCTGTGCTATAGAAGCAATAAGATAAGGGCCAATACTCTCTGACATGGTCTCAGGTAAAAACTCTTCACTTCCGCTGGGTGCCAAATGTCATGTTTAGTGTAATGAGAATAGGAATACATTTACCATGGTGCTTACAGAACTAGTACAGAGCCTGGTAAATTTTTTCAAAATGTTACAAGAAAATATTGGTGAGGATGTGGAGACACTGGAACCCTTGGTGCATTGCTGGGGGGATGTAAAATGGTACAGCTGCTGTGGTAAACAGGATGGAGTCTCCTCAAAAATCCACACTGATTACCATCTGCTCCAGCAGGTGCGTATGTCCAGGTGCATACCCCAAACCACTGAAAGCAGGGACTCGAACAGAGCACACCAATGATCATGGCAGCTTTATTCACAAAGCACACAGCAGCATTATTCCACCAAAAGGGGGAAAAAACCTAAATAAATGTTTGTTGATGGATGAATGGAGGACTGCAATGTGGTATATACATATCTAATGGGATATTATTCAGGGTTAAAATTCAGAAGGAAATTCTGACAAATGCTACAACATGGATGAATCTTGAAGACAATATGCTTGAAAGAAGCCAGACACAAAAGAACAAGTATTGTATGATTTCAGGTATACGAGGTACCTGGAGCAGTCAATTCATTGAGAGAAAAAGAGAACATCAGCTACCAGGACCTGGTGGGAGAGGGGAATGGGGTGTTTAATGGGACAGAGTTTCAGCTGGGGATGATAAAAAAGTTCTGGAGATTGGGGCGCCTGGGTGGCTCAATCAGTTAGGCGTTTGCCTTTGGCTCAGGTCATGATCCTAGGGTCAAGGCTCTCTGCTCAGCAGGGAGCCCGCTTCTCTCTCTCCTTCTGTGTGATCTCTCTCACTCTTGCTCTCTCTCAAATAAATAAATCAAATCTTAAAAAGTTCTGGAGATGGATAGTGGTGATGATGAATGTACTTAATGCCACTGAACTATGCACTTAAAAATGGTTAAAATGGCAAATTTTATGTCATGTAGATTTTACCAGAAAAAAAATCACTCCTTGGAATTTCAAAATTAAAATGTTTTTAAATGATAAAGATATATGGAATATACACCATGTAATGTCATATTTTGTATAAATCATTCTTTCAGCCTGAGATGTCTCCTCCTTTCCCTTCCTGATGACCACCTACTCATCTTTCAAGATCATCCAAAATGCTGCCCTCTCTGTGAAGATTGCCTCAATTCTCCTACATAGCTAGTGTGACTCCTGTGTTCCCATCGTACTCTGGATGGTGCTTCTATGTGACATTTCTCCTTGTATATGTAAACATTTGCTACACTAGATTATGACTCAGTGTGTTTACTTCTGTTAAGAAATAACATCCTAGATTGGAGACAAAAGTACCAACATTGTAATAATGTGTATTTCAGTGTAAAGACACACACACACACAAGAATCTGAAAGTCAAGAAACACGACGGCGTGTCTCTCACACTGACAGAAGCCCCTAAAAATCAACTAATCATTGTGACTTCCAAAAATATAATCAAGAAAAATGTATTTCCTGTCTAAAAAAATTCTACATTTAAGATATGTGTCTCAGCATACTGACAGACCTCAGTTATTTTTTATATTTTCTTTTTAAGTTTCAAGATGAAAAGAAATATGTAAAATTTTACAGGACTAATAATAACTGGATTTTCTCCCCTAAATATTATCTTTTAAAAAAATAAATATACAATGAACCTTATCAAAACAATTAATTTAGTATTTCTTTTCCTCTTGAGAAAGCTCTCTCTTTAGGTTACAATCACAGGAAGCTTTGGAATACTTAAACACATCGTCCAACTGCATCATCAGTAATAAAACCAACAGTTTGGTAAACACAAACAGTTTGGTATCTACCTGCCTGACCCCCTTTGTCTATTTCTCAATTTAGCTCTGAAGATGGGCTGTAAAAATAGGTATTTATTGGGACCCCAGAAACCCTAAAACATAATGTGATATTTATTAAATATATTTACTAGACTTATAATGTAGGTCAACAGAAAACATCCACAACATCACTGATCATCAGGGAAATGCAAATCAAAACCACAATGAGAGAATACCTCACACCTGTCAGAATGGCTATTATCAAAAGGACAAGAAATAAGTGTCAGTGGAGATGTGGAAAAAAGGGACCCTTTGTGCACTGTTGGTGGGAATGCAAACTGGTGCAGCTACTGTTGAAAACAGTATGGAGGATCCTCAAAAAATTAAAAATAGAATTACGATATAATCCAGCATTTCCACTCTTGGATATTTATCCGAAGAAAATTTTCAAAACACTAATTCCAAAGATATAGACATCCCTGTAGGTTCATTGCAGCATTATTTACAATAGCCAAGATACGGCAGCAACCTCAGTGTCCATAAATGGATGAATGAAGATGTGATACATACATAGAATGGAGTATTACTGAGCCATAAAAAGGACTGAAATCTTGCCACTTGTGACAACATGGATAGACCTAAAGGGTATCATGTTAAATGAAATAAGTTAGAGAAAGACAAATACATAGATTTCACTTATATGTGGATTCTAAAAAAGCAAAACAAATGCACAAACAAAACAGGAATACTCACAGATACAGAGAAAAAACTGATGGTTGCCAGAGGGAAGGGGGGGTGCAGACACAGGACAAAGTAGGGGAAGGGGATTAAGAGGAACAGTCTTCTGGTTATAAAATACATAAGTCACAGGGATGTAATGTACAGTATAGGGAATATAGTTGGTAATTTTTTTTTTTTTTAAGATTTTATTTATTTGACAGAGAGAGACACAGCGAGAGAGGGAACACAAGCAGGGGGAGTGGCAGGCAGAGGGAGAAGCAGGCCTCCCGCTGAGCAGGGAGCCCGATGCAGGGCTCGATCCCAGGACCCTGAGATCATGACCCGAGCCGAAGGCAGACGCTCAACTGACTGAGCCACCCAGGCACCCCTATAGTCGGTAATATTGTAAACAACTTTGTATAGTGACAGATGGAACCTAGACTTATTGTGATCATTTTGTAATGTATGTAAATATCAAATCACTGAAACTAGTACCATATTGAGTGAATGTCAATTATTCTTCAATTAAAACGAAAAGTAACATCCAAAACTGCTTTGCTCGTAGAGAGCAAATATAATCTCTCTTTAAGGCAGAATCCCCCAATGGTAACAGTCACCCAAGTTCTAGTTCAGCAGGCTAATAATCTATGGTTAATCACTATGAGCTAGGATTTGTGTAAACCCTTCTCCTTCCGCACTATAAACTAAATTGAGTTTAAGCATGAGTTTTATCTATATACAATTAAATAATCTTTTTTCTTTTTTAAAAATATTTTATTTATTTATTTGACAGACAGAGATATAGCGAGAGCAGGAACACAAGCAGGGGGAGTGGGAGAGGGAGAAGGAGGGAGCCTGATGCAGGGCTCCATCCCAGGATCCCGAAATCATGACCTGAGCTGAAGGCAGATGATTAATGACTGAGCCACCCAGGTGCCCCACGATTAAATAATCTTTGCACAAAACTTTTAGGCTTATTTGCTGAGGACTTACCCACTCCTTTTCAAGTATAATAACCTGTAGGTGGCTCTCATGACTCAAGAATCTAAAATAAAATAGCTAAGAACTGTAACTTGGGAAATAGTGCTATGAAACAGAGAGTAGAAATAACAATGGACTAGTAATTAATAAAAATTGTTTCTGTTATTAGTTAACCTGTCTACTTTAAGATTTTAACTAACTCCCTGGGTGTCTGCTTCCTCTTTTTAAAAGAATGGGATGGACTATAGGGTATTTCAGACTTCTGGTTCTAAAATCAATGAGACTTGCTCAGTTGGTTGTGTCTACCTTTAGCTCAGTCATGATCCCAGGGTCCTGGGATCGAGCCCCGTGTTGGGCTCTCTGCTTAATGGGAGTCTGCTTTTCCCTCTTCCTCTGTCCCTCCCCACCATTTGTGTTTTCTAATAAATTCTTGAAAACAAAAAAATAAAATAAAATCAACAAGACTATGAAATTAGTGGTCTCAATCATGTTGTTATTTCTATTCTCAGAAGAATCATGTATATATCCAGTAAGTAATTTACTCAGAGACTGAATCCATGTGGTATCATTTAACCATTAAGTATTTCATGATTCTTAAGAAATGCTTGATGGTTTCAAAGCTTACCATAAGGACAAAAGGTATTAGTTACATAAATAAACCATTAGGTTAGGAAGAGAAAAGCCAATGAAAATGTATGGTGTTATTTTATTTCAGTACAAAATTAGCTAGTGTCCCTACCTCAGCTGTGTCATATAGATCATAAAATTGTATTACACCCAAGTGTGCACTTTAACGTAACAAATGGCCTAGAGAACACACAGCATTTTTGAATACTTCTAAAAACTGAGTTTTCCATTTTGTTTCTATGTCATACTACAATTCTGTTACGTACTATATCATATTACCTACTGACCTCTAATTTTACCAGTATTATCCAGTTCACAAATGAGGAGACAGAGAACAGAAGCTATTTTCAAGAAGGGCTGAATGAGGTTATAAGCAGCACTGTGGCTTCTAGGTATTCTGATTTTGAGTCAAACTATCATTAGCTCTTAAAGTTTATCCACAGAACACTGTGTGACACAGAACATTTTGATGTCTCTTTATAATCCTCAAAAGGGTAGAAAAAGATTTTCTGATCGGTGTTTCTCACTGATTGAACAGTGAGTAGAAAACACCCTCAGTTTTTTTTTTTTTTAAAGATTTTTATTTATTTATTTAACAGAGATAGAGAGCACAAGTAGGCAGAGTGGCAGACAGAGGGAGAGGGAGAAGCAGGCTCTCCACCGAGCAGGGAGCCCGATGTGGGGCTCGATCCCAGGACCCTGGGATCATGACCTGAGCCAAAGGCAGCCGC